GGGGGGGGGTGGGGGGGGGGTTGGCTGTGCCGATACTGGAATTTTTTGTGTGTGTATGTGTCAAATTTGGGAACATTTTTATTCATATTAGTTGGTGAAAAAACATTTCATTTTGTTTTGCACATGCTTGAAAAGGAACCCCCAATTTTATTTAGCTTTCAAAGCTGTTAAATTTAAAGATATATACTGTTACTTTGGCCATACATGTGGGAGGTTAAGAGCAGGATTGTTAGGCACAACCTTGACTAAACTTGACATCAAACTTTACTTTAAATATGAGTGAATGAACATTTTCTTTTTGCAAAAAGGTCACCATTACATAAAAAAGTTTTGTTTATGGATGTCAGGAAATTCTTCTTGTGTGGAAGACAAATTTATTCCAGTGGAGCAGCTGTAGACAATAGTTGTACAGGGGTGTGAAATTAAACCACGGTGCCTAGCAGCCTGGTTTGGGGAAGACGTAGGCTTGTAAATTGTTTGACATTCACTAGAAATGATTTGGTTTTGGAAGAAAACAAGCAGGAAGATGTGTAATTTTATATTTATCAACTTGTCATTGTCATGCCACGTTTGTCTATGAATGGATTTGTAAGCAAATATTTCTGTCTTTGGCTTAGAAAACAGTGAGGCCCACATGAAGAGGGGAGGGGGGTCAGGCCAATTTTGCAGAAGTTTTTTGCTTGATAAATTGATGTCACATGTAAAGAATATTTTACATGGCAGTGAGAGCCAATAAATCATCTTCAAGTTGTTATGTGGAATGTTTCAAAGTGACAGGGTGAAAAGTTATGGTGAAATGTGAAATAGATTTTTTTTTAACCATGAAGAGAATAAGAGCCTTCCTTTCTCATGGGGCATCATCGTCCATGGGCAGGGGCTATGTACCTGGATAGCCTCATTCCCTTGATAGCCTCATTCCCTGAAGAAGATGTTCTAGATAGTCATCAAAATATTGGAGGTAAACAATTTCAATAATAGCTGTTGATCTTGAAAAAAAAATACTGTTTTTTATTAAGCATTGTTTGATAGCTTTTAATAAAATTTTGTCAAGCCTAATTGATGGCAATTGATGAACTCAGAGGAATTTTTTAATGACAAAAATAATTTCTGTCTTTTCTGAGAATTCATAGACATATACTACTGGGAGTCTGAGCAGATTAGGTCCAGGTTCACAAAAAATATGAGGTAAAAACCAATTTAGAAGCCAGATTTATCATGTCCCTTGTGACTGTTCATAGAATTAAACACATCTCCATTTTCAATATTTTGCCAAGAACGGAATGATGGAATACTGAAGGTATCTCTCAGAGTAATTTGTTCTTGGGTGGTGACTTTTTGACTTTCTCTTTTAAGAGCAGATTATGAAGTATGAATGAAAATGTTTCATTTCCGCATACTTTTTTTCCTCTTCAGGATGTTTACCAGCCATGAAATATATTGTGGCTTTCCCCAGAAAGTTGTCCAGTCGTTATTTAGATGACCATTAGCCTCAAAAGATGCCCTATGTTTCCAAAGATGGCTAGACATCTTACAAAATTTTAGGGTTGGTTGGTTGGGCTTGCTTGGGTTGGAATATCTGTATATTGATGACCAAATTGCAGATTCACATTTTGGACTCCCTGCACCCCGGATACCAGCCATGAAATTCCCATAGTGCCTATATAATTCCCAAAACAAGAGCAGTTATGAAGAAAAATATTTTAGGCACATAATCGCCAATCCTTGTAACCAGCATTTGAAATTCTTTTCCAAATGCATAAGATATTCTAATTTTGGCTCAGATAGTTGTAAAATATTTTACTTATATTTATAAATCATCACTGAATTTTTTGTTCATATTTGTTTTATAGTTTGGTTTGATTGAAATTATCATGCTATTTGGCTAAAAGAAATTTGATGCCAGTGTGAGGCAGTGGCCCAAGGTGGAAAAGGTACCACTGAAGCCACCTTGGGCCCTAGCAGTGTTATGGAGGTGCTCTTATTCATAATGATGAAGTGCCATTGACAAAATTCCCAGAGGACACAAACTTACTATGAAACACAAAGATCTGAGGTCCTCTAATGAAATTGCCTGAAGACAAATCCTTCTTTCATAGCTGTCATTGAAAGCCTGGACACAGTGCGGTGAACATATTTTCTGATTAAAAGCAGATATTAGATTGTAAATGGCTGCTCCCCAGCGGCAGATTTTACACCCTGGGTCGTGAATAATAGCGCCCTCTAGGAACACTGGTCAGCCACTTTCTTAGATTTACTTCATAATGTGTTTACAGTGCTCGTCTCTGATGCACTGATAATTTGTGTATTATAGTTTTATATTTTTCTGTTGTCAAGAAAAAAAAACCTCCCTGGAGCATCATAGTAGGACATGTAACACACAAATGGATATAGTTAATGGCAATGAAACTCTTCTATGCCTCGTTAATAATGTTTTCAGCCGTAGAAGGTTTGACAGGCCATTTTTATTTTTGTGAACTTAATTTTCAGCTATAAAGGCAAAGAATGGTTTTCTGCTGTCTTTGGAGAATAGAAATGACTGATTTATTTGTGACACTTAAAAGGAAAATGAAGAAAATATTGAACAAGTGGAGAAAAATGAAGAGGAGAAAACAGTTACATTTCTCAAGAGTTGTTTGATAATTATAAACCAAGCACTCTATGGACTGTTGCTATGGAAACAGGCCTGGTAATGCACTTAGATGTTGTAATGTACATTAACTTCTAGATTAATGTCTTTTTTTGGTTGGTGTGAGCAGAAGCGAGAAACTTTTCATTTGTGATGATAAAGGCAACTGAAGAGAGGCCACAAGAGAAACCAGCCAGATGAATGTTGATGCCTTTGATTAAAAAAAAATTCTTTTAATATGCAGCACTGTAGATAGTTAATTAGGCCCCAGAGAGAGGGGGGTTGAAG